TGAGTATGAGTAAATGATTCGATAAATTTTTGGAGTAATTAAAGTTTCAATGAATTTTAAAGAATCAATGATTCAATAGATTCTTGGTGTAATTATTTTAGTTGATATTTACATATTACTTTTGGATCTTGTAGTTAAGAAAGATTGTAATTACTTTGATATAATGCGATTTTATAAGTTGAAGAGATTTTTTATGCGACTTATAATGAGATATCTTTTATGAGTTAAATGATTATTCAAGAAAACGATTTGATCATTAGAGATCCTATGGGTTTGAGAAAAGACCTTCGACTTAATGAGATTTTGAAGCATTTGATAAGTGTAAAGTGAATCCTTAATCATGGATTAAGAGTGGTATATGAATGAACATTGTTGGAATTAAAAGTATAGAATATTGGACTTCAAATAAAATGATGTTTTGAAATTATGAAGTAATTAATTCTCGGTTACAATGTTAGAAAATGTCTTGATAGATTCAGTTATGAATATTATAATTGTGGTAAATAGTTTTATATATGTAAAGAAGGATATTCACTTGATTTGGTTCTATAATTTTATTGAGAAAGTATTTAAGGTTTGATCTTGTGGGTTCGACGTTTGTATAGTTAATTTGAAGTTTGATTATTAAATTCCTATTTTGGGTGTACTAGTTTTTTTTTAATGGCTAAAGTGATTAACTTGTGGTTATAGTTTCTAATTGAAGTATACTATTAGATTCCTTCAAATTTTATATTTTTGGAGAACATTATCAATTGTGGTACAAGGCTGTGTACTTAGAAATGAGTTAAATTTGTGAATAAAAATTAAAGTTTTAGTTATCTAAATGATTTAGTAAAAAAATTGGTTTTAAAGAAGTAAACGATTTACAGATAATATATATGTTTTGGTTAAGAATGATTGTTTGAAAGCTTACAAGTGCAAAAGATTATTTTAAATCTTATTAAGTGTAAAAGATTATCTGAAATCTTATAAGTGATGATTCTGTGTACTTGGTGATACTAAGTATATACTTGATTTTAAAGAAACTTGAGAAAATTTCTGAAATAATGTAATGTTTTTAGTTATTGTTCATAATTATACTTTCGACACGAATTCAAGTATTTGTGGGGATTATGAAGAATCAATTGTTATATGATAATTGATTTATTAAATCATAAAGAATAATAGTTGAAATTGGAGACAACTTTGATAACTAGATATTTATGTTTGAATTTACATAGTGTAAATTTATGGATATGATTTTATTGCATTGATTTCATATGTATTCTAATAGTTAATTGATAGATAATTTCATATTATTGATGAAGAAAAAAGAAAATTAAGGTACTATGTGATTTTTTTTTTATGACTAAAGGATTTGTTAATGCTATTATTCAACTTTAATATTGTATATGGTTATGAATACCCGACGTAAAGTGAATTAAATGAAAATTTTTAGACATATATTTTTCTTGTTATGAAACAATGTTATGAAAGTTAATATGTTAAAATTTTGTCGGAAGGAAATATCAAAGTGCACATGAAAGCTTAATTTGATTTAAGTTTTAAATTTTTATACTATTGTTAATTGAAAAAGTGATGAATCTTTAATAAATAAGGACTAATGGATTTTGGGTAAGAATATTTTATGTTTCCTTTATTTTTTAAAGCTTTATCGTTGATTGACATTCTTTTAAGAAGTGCATATGTCATGACTTGAAGAGAAATATTTTATAATGATAGTCATAAGACAAACATTCAATGATTCATTTTGAGATTCTGTATGAAAATGGTTTAAGTCTTAGACTTATTGGCATAAGGATGAAGAAGAAAAACTTTTATTTCTTGAATTTATGGAAAAAATTACTAATAAATTTTGGTTGATTAAAGAATGGTTTAAAGTAAGCAAGAATTAGGTCATAATTTGATGATAAGATTTATAGCTTCAAGTAGTTAATCATTTGTACTCAAATATGTCATTATTAAAAGTATAATAAGGATTATAAAATAAGAAAGGTTATGTTTGCAATAGGTAAGGACATATGAAGTTCTTGATAAAGTGAAAGAAGTTCAATATAAAGAATACTATCACCTTAGATGTCTAGTGTACATGATGAATCTATCTATGTCAAGAGAATATCTTGATAGAAGCTATGTGATTGGATATGAGTATTTAAAAATTCAATATGATATAATCTTTAACATATTGAAAATATCTTTTTCGAATGATTGATTGGAAAGAACAAGTTTTAAGGTAAAATGATTACTTTTATCAAAATTTAATTAGACAATCATACAGTAAAAGAAGTGATTGCAAAAATAAAAGAATAAGATATAGACGTAAATCAAGTTTCAAGGACGAAACTTTTTATAAGGAAGGGAGAATGTAATACCTCACCCCAAATGATAATTGGGCTAGATTATTACTAAAGCCGATTAAGTTAATTAAGAGGTTAATTATTAAAGAAAAAGTTTTATCAGAAAAAAATCTAGTTATCGTGAAACAAAAATGAAAATAAAAGTTTTTTTTCCCTATCTTTTTTAGGGTTAGAGAGCATAAAAAATTAAGTATATGATACAAAATCAGATACTACAATCAAGTTAATTTCCTAATAGTAAGTATATGTCCTCTTTTTATTTAAGAAAAATATACAATTTTGGTTATTATTATATGGAGGTAAAGTTTTGAGAGAAAAATCAAGAAAATTATAAAATCTTTCATTAATCTTCATCATCTATTTGGGTAAATTATTGGACTGTGTTTATTTCATATTCTTAGGATTTATTGATGATTATTGAATGGAGTTTAAAAGTTGAAAATGGAGATCTGAGTTTTTAAAAATTGAAAGAGAAATTCTATTTTTGGATGAGATACTATAACCTGCAATAGTGAATAAAATAAAAATTTGTATTAATAGATAGATTATTGCTAAGACTGTTATATATCGTTACAAAGTATGTTGAATCTACTTTCTAATGAAATAAACGGAAGTCAAATCCGAATTTTTTATAAAGAGTTGTCTAATATTTACTCAAGGATATGCAGGCAGTATGGCAATATCATCAGGGTTGAATTACAAAAATTTTCTTAAATTTTATACAAGGAATTAAGAATTGATCCATACATATTTGAAAAGGTTATTAAGTCTACTTTTTAATGAAATAAGCAAAATTGAATTTAGAGTCTTTTATGAATAAATATATAATTTTTATTAGAATATATACATGTTGTCTAATAGCAGCATATGATGTGGATTATAAAATTTATTATAATTAATCTACAAGGAATTACAAAATAGGCCATATATGGTTAGAAAACTTATCAAGTTTAGTTTCTAACATATTAAAGAGATCTTAATTCTAAGTTGGATATCTTGAGATCTTAATTCTAAGTTGGATATCTTGAGATATGGTTGTTTTAATTAAAGGAGCTTAGGCTACCAATATTAATTAGTTGAGTTAACATTTGTGTAACTTAGTTGATTTTTATATAAATGGTCTAAAAAAAAGTTGATTAATTTTTTATGTGTTGAAATGATCTTAAATAGGTCATTAATTATTTTAAGAGAAAAACTAAGTGGTGGAATCGAAATGAGGTAAGTAGAATTTACACACTTTACTTGTTTTTGAACTTATGTATATATGTATATTTCTAAATGAGTAAATATTTTATTTCATTATTTTCGATATATGAAAACAAGAGCAAGCATATGATTATTTTGTGTTTTTGCTATGTAAATGATTGATCATGTTTATGAATGAAATACGAAAATGATTTATATTTAAGGAACGATTTTATGATAGTTACATTTTTACATCTTTAAGAAGTGATATCATCGATATCGGAACTAGTTTTATACCCTAGCTAATAAGTAATAGTAGTTAGCATAAACATGATCATATGGCCCTACTAAAGGGTTATAGTAATTAGCGTAAGGTCTTAGCTAACGGGTTATAATAGTTAGCAATGATTATGAGGATTAAATCGTCGATACGGCCAATGTCACTAGTTATAGCAATGACCATAGCGAACGATAAACGAATGATAATAATGATTTATGATGATTTTAAAGATTGATCCATGGTTTATATGAAATATGTATTTGATTGTGATTTATGATTTATAATTGATGAATTGATATGTTTTAATATTAATTTATGATTTACGATTTACGAAATGTTTGACATAATGATGATTTTTGAATGTTTTAACATTATGATTTGACGAATATTTTGAATGATTTATATGATATGTATGAAAATGATTCTTGATTCGGTAAAGTGTGTGAACTTATACTTACTGAGCTGTAATTTACTCATTATCCTTCTATTTTTTCTTTACAAATAATTAAAATGATAAGTTTGCTTAGTCTTGAGAGAAGCTAGAGGATTAAATTAGAAATATTACTTTGACATTGAAGATATTATTGGCTAATGAGATCTTACAAAATGATTTTGTATTTTTATTAGTTTACATTTGGATATATAGAGATTTATTGTTAGTTGGATTAAAAATATAAAATTTTCTTAGCAGATTATTTTATTGAAAAATTTTAAAATGGTTAAGAAAGAAATCTTTGTATTATTTTGAGGTTTTACTTCAAAGTAATATGATTGTGTTATGTCCTAATCTCGAAACGTGATAGATATGAATTGTAATATATATTTTCATGTCAAACACGATACATATATATAAATTTTAATATTTTACACTGCATAAGTATACGAATCGTGAGATCTAATTTTAAACTTAATTGAAATGTTCATGTGATATCCTTTATGAGTTTTTTTTTTATTTTTTATATCCATGTATCATTCTTATGCAGTTTTTTTACCTTTCATTTTTTAAATATTGGATAAATTTTATAAATAAATTTATAAATAAATATAACAAAATAAAAAAAAAAATTTGACTCGCGATAAGTGGTTATCCATCTAATAAATAGTGATCGTCATACTAGATTTCTTTTCCAGCCCCCCTCCCCCCCCACCCCAAAGTCCAACACATTTAGTATATTCTGTTTTCTAAATACTCTGATGTGAGGGTGATAAAGGGCTGCTGGAACCTAAGTAGCATTCGATAATTTGAATGTAATCTTGCTTAAATGAAAATTCTATCCATGGCTGCCTTTCCAGTACTCAACTGCTGTGTCTTAACCAAGTACCATGGGTCCATGGCTCAACGACATTTCCGATTCCTCTGGGCAAGGAATACTTGTACTTAGAGCCATGCCCATGAGTGGCAAATCTTGTCCTTTTGGGATATATCCTGACAAAATTGGAACAAAACCATTTGCCCAGTGATAGATTGTGGAATGGTACCGGGAAGGATAGATTGCTCAATGGGGTATGAATCACAATTTAAACTTAAAAGAGCCAAGGAAAAACAAAAACCATATTTGGCTACTACTGAGAACAAATGCTCAAATCGGATGGGTGCCAAGGACATTTTAGTTTGCTTGTTCCTATTACCTCAAGCCTTTCTGCATCTCCTGTTTTGAGTTGAGTTGTTACTGTTTGTTTTTCTGCCTAGATGTGATGCCTATGAAAGGTGTTGATGCTGGATTAAGTTAATCCCAAAGCTGAAAAGCATCTAAAAACCTTGCAAGAATCTCGGAGTTGTAGACTAAAAAGCTAATAATAAATGCCACCACTCATCACCATCTTGAGTGGAGGGGGAACAACTCCTCAAGTCTTTGAGTCCTCTTGAATTTGTGTTTAATTTAAGATTGGCATATTTATGGATTAGAACCTAGGGCCTGTTGGAGTTAATGTGGGCTTCTAGACACGTAGCAGATGTCTTAGGAGTACTAAAGAGGCGTTAGATTTTCCATTTTTTGCCATTCCAACAGGACCGAATATTCCCTTTAAGGATGCAGTATAGACCAGAATTTTGCCACCTACATTCCAGCCATCATACACTCGTATTCCTTTAACTTGAGGGTGCTGGAAAGAGGCTATGTCAGATATTGGAAACTGCAACACTCAGAATTTTGTGAAATATGTAGTATAACTGTGACTGTTAAAAAAGTTCAATGACTGGTAGCCTGAAGCATTTGGACCATCATTTTCTTCTTCTTATATTACTTTAACCCATTTAGTGTGAAACATTCTATTTTGCCTCATTTCAGTTTGTTGAACCTTGGTGCTGATTATTTTGAGTATGACAGTGATATTAATCCTAATTTTGATCCTGACTCCTGAGGAGACCTCCAGCTATGCATTTAAAATTTGAGAGTTTCTACATACATAAGACAACATTTCTACAAAAGAAAATGTAGGAAAAGGGAATAAAGTTTAGCATCCATGGAAAGCATGACATACCAAATACCACGAAGTGCATGCTCCATCAATTTGATGTGAAGTTGGTAAGGAAAGCAGATTTGGCGTTGGGTTCTTCCCAGTCTAATCCATCCCACCATTCCTTACCACAATACACCGATGGCAGGGTTGAGGAATTAGAGGTTCTGATTGGTAGTTTCTTCAGCTTTGGGCAATCAATCACAGCAATGCTCTTCAAGCATGGGAGAGCCAATGTCCACGGAGTGATACTCCTCAATTCAGGGAGGTCACGGATGGATATAGTTTTGAGCCTTGAAAATGCCTTTGAATCAGGCTCTAGTTTTTCTCCTCCGCTTACCACTTCTTCCATTTCTTTGCAGTAGAACAAGTAAATTACTTCTAACATTGGAAGTGATAATACCCATGAAACATTCTTCAATCTATGGCAATACCAGATATTCAACAAGCGCAGATTTTGCAGGCTTGCTTTTCTCACAGGGTTTTTCCACACTGAAGTTACATTGGGTAGGCCTTGCAAGGCTAGAACCTCCAGGTTAGGCAGCCACCTTTCTCCATCCTCGGTATCCACTACCAAGTAATTTAAGTCATAGCAGTTTCTGATGCTAAGTCTTCTCAATGTTTTTCCATAACCGAAAGTTGATGAAAATTCTAATTGAGTTAATCCTTCACATTCCTTTATGTGCAAATACTGTATACATCTAACTAAACTTCTGAAGCTAGAGAATCTGTTCAGGGAGATTATTGTGGAAATGGTTAAACCAAGGATGCGGAGGTGTCTCAAGGTCTCCAATTCCTCAAATCCAACTTCAGCTTCGCCGTCAAAATTCTGAAGTTCCCAACGCTCATAACTGTAATACAAATTCAAGACCACCAACTCTGAAAGTCCAGATATAGCCTCAAGAGGAATTGTTCGAAGAGAGTATGTGCGCAACAGATTCAAGTGGTTCAGCTTCGTTAAACTTCCTAGCTCCTTGGGCAATGTGGTTATTTTCGTAGCTGCTAAATTAAGATGACGCAACTCTAATAATTGATTGATGCTCACTGGGATCTTTCTGATGCTTGTAAATGACAAATCCAGGACTCTAAGAGCAGACATAAATTGAAAAAAGTCATCTGGTATTCGATTCAGACCATTATTCCACTGAAGCAGCAGAGTCAACAGATTTGGGCACACAGGTACTTCTTTTAGTCCTGTGATTCCATTGTCTAACAAAGAAATTCTCTGTGTTCCTTCCCAGTTTTGAACTCTGGGAGCTTCAGTAAGGTCCAAGCTTGCCTCTACCAAAAACTTTCCCTTATTTACTCCAGATTCAGATGCTATCCATAAGGCAAAACTTCGGATAACATCATTCATCTTCACTTGGGTTTCTTCTTCGCCTGTTTCCAGTAAGCAGGCCACTTTTAGGGATCCAATTGCAGCATACCCTTTATTATGGGCATTACTGTCATAGGAACTGTCCAGAAACCCTTCCGCAATCCAGTACTCTACAAGCTGTTCTTTCTCAATGGAATAGCTTTGAGGGAATAGAGAACAATACAAAAAGCACATTTTTATTGTTTCATTCTCCAAATTGTCATAGCTAAACCTTAGGAGGGCAAATACATCTTCCATACCTCGAAGTTCAGATGGAGATTTGTTGAGTAATTCAATTGCATACTTCCATTCTTCTTCAGTCTCCTTATTGGCCATCGCTCTTCCCACAGTGATCAAGGCGAGCGGTAAACCTCCACATTTTCTGACAATTGTCTCAGCATAAGTTCTAATAGGTGGTGACTCTAAAATCTCCGTTCTTCCAACCTTCTCACAAAATAATTGCCATGATTTCTCATCGCCCAAGAATTCTGCTTTGAGCTTCCGATGAGCATCCATGTCAGTGCACACATCCATGGAACGTGTTGTGAATATCAGCTTGCATTTATTTTCCTCATCGGGAAGAGGAATTCCTATATCCTCGAGATCAATTCTTTCCCAAACATCATCCAGCAATAGGAGGAACCTCTTCTTTTTCAAAACATTGTAAATCTTTGAAGTTTGCAGTTCATGGGCTTCACTTTCTTCCCATGGCAATCCTAACCTGGCCAGAATGGACTGTTGGATCTTACTGACAACAAATTCCTTAGAGACCAAGACCCATATTACTGCGTCAAAATTGTGAGCTCTGGTAAGAAATGCATTATTGATGGTCTTCAGAAGGGTGGTCTTCCCGACTCCACCCATTCCATATAATGCAATAATTCCCACTTTACCCTCCTCAAGAAACTCCCAGACCTTGTCTAACATTACACTGATGCCAATAGCTGGCTTACACGGTTTCTCCTCAACAGGAGCAGTATGCGGCTCTGTCACTGGTCTCTCAAAAACACTTTTCGCCTTCAGGTCACTTATCTCCTTCAGCTTCTCTACAATCTCCTCGCTCAGGCTGTATTTTGAATAACAGCTTGAATTTAAGCACCCCAAGCCTTGCCTTCTCTGTCCAAGATTCTCTATAATGGAGGTTGCTTCAGCTTCAATAACTTCTACTCTTGCCAGCCACCTCTGGACTTCATTTGTACGTCTTGATCCATCCAGTTCAGCTCGCTCAACCCGTGTTCTTAAGTCATCTCTCTTGTCCTTCAGCTCATTTAGTTCAGTAGTGACCGAGTGTATCCTTCTGTCCAAATCGATAATATTGCTAATCCGACTAGCCATAGCCGTGCATAACCTGTCAACTACGCTGATCAGAGGGGAAATAAAATCCATGGATAAAATGCTTAATGAGCTTGTTGAGAAGAGCAGAGACTCAAGGGTTATATCAAAATGGCTAATAGTTGTTTTCTGTACCACCACCAGGTTCAGAACAGACAAATCCAAATAATCCGCGTGCTTACTTGTCGATCAAAGAATATTCAATTTCAAAACAACCTGCCAGTTGTGTTGAAATGATTGATCACCAGCTTCTGTCTTAAGTCTCTTAGTAAAAGCCGCCAGAGTTGAATCCTTCCAACTGAATGAGCTAATGTCAAGGGTTTAGCATTAAAAATGTTCCTGGCGCAAGTTCTTAGTCATTTCGTCTCTACACGGACAGTTGACTTCCAAGGGTTTGATCTTTGTAAACTTCCATGAAACATGACAAGGGGCATCTTGGATCCATTCGATCAAAAAATTCATATAAAAGAAAAAGAAAATTCCTCAAAGATCCTGAAATATCTTCCAATGCACAATTTGCAATTTCTTTCTATCTTGAAATGCAACAGATGCTGAAGTAGGAATTTCTGTAGCTTACAAAATTTCTTCCGTTTAGGGTGTAACTTTAATTTTCTCCAGAATATGGATGTTCACCCTAAAACTAAACAATAGAAAGATAGAACCTAATGTAATTTGAGTAAAGCGGTAGCGGTTGACCTTTCAATTATCAAACTACAGATTCCATAAACTGATAAAACCCTCTCCAAAAAATAATAATAATAATAAAGACAATATTGTAACATTCTTCCAATCTGGTCACTTGAATATAAGACTATAAGAAATCCAATATTTGATAGATGTGGAATAATACCATTTTAACATGCCTATCATGTATGTAGACGGAGACAAAAGCCTACCATGTGACAATCTAAGTGCAATTGACAAAGAACTCAACTTGAATATAATACCATAAACAATCAATCTTTAATAAATGTGAAATACCACCACTTTAATATCAGTAATTCAATATAAACAGGTCACTGATATAAACGGGTCTCCAGGCTCCTTCAATGATAAGTGATTCATTTAAATCACTTAAATTGTTTAGTATAATTGTAGAATAGATGCAGCAGAACATCTTGTCTAGACAAAATCTATGAAAAACTGGACTGAATGAATATATCACTGCAATTGCCATTAAAGCTAAAGACTTAAGAGCCATCCAAGATCCAAGCATAAACTCCTACTCCCATCTTTTATATCCGTCAACGATTGCTAATGAATGATGGGGAAATAGTGAACAAACTGTGAGGACGTGAAAAAGGCTGGATGCTGAAGGAACAATACAGTTGAAGTTAATTGTAACTTAAGTTTATTTGGTCAACAAAAGGTACATATAATATTAATATATATGCACTCAGATTTTGGAAGACAAATGCTAGCATTGTGTTTGACAAAAGAAGATATATTACATGCAAAAGTATGAATGTACAAATGCCTATTTATTTTCAAGGTGGATAGGCTCCTCATAGTATTGCCAGAATGGCAATTCAAAATAGAACCAAACAAGGGAAGAAATACAAAAGATATCATCAATATTGTGAGACATGTTCTTATCATAGTTGCTCCAGTTGGATCTGAGAGCAGATGTCTGACAAGGCACATTCTCATGTCGATTGGTGCTATAACAAAAATATAGAAGGCAAAGAGAACGAGATCGGCAGAGGAAAGAGTAGAACAAAGAAATGCTTGCCACATCCTGCAATAAAATATAATTTCGAGCTAAGGCAACGCAGGCTAGTCAAGCATTCATTTATTTATATAATGTTTAATAAAAACAAAAAAAAAATCACTAATAACTGGTTTCTTTATTCATGAAAGAAGTTGTGTTCGTCTATCTCAAGTTTAAAAACTGAAGATTTGGGTGGGGTTGTGAGGAAGAATGTTTTAATGCCTTCGGTATCCAGTTGCAATATGAATGCTAGCCCAAAGAGAAAGAATGACCTTTGCCATTTCCTTTCTTGTGGCCAAAGAGTATTCCAAGCCGAATCAAATTAGAATAACACATCATCAGAAGGTGGCACCATCCATTGGGTATTTAAAAGTTGAAACATCACATCAAGCACCATAGCATTACATCATACAATGAATAATCAAAGTACCCTCGAGGACAATTCAGCAAACAGAAACATACAAGCCAAGCAAGAGAGAAACCATACATCATAAAGACATCTATCGTGATAGAAAGTTGAATCCTGAATTTGATGTAAAATTGGATAAGCTGTTTTCTCTGATTTTCTACTATTATAATGACGGTGAAATCCTGAATTTGAGGTGCTGTCTCTTAAATAATCATACATGAGGAAATAGAGAAAAACATAACACAGAGAGAAAAGGAATCTTTTGGCTACTAAACCAAAAAAAAAATAGCATACGTTGGGAGCATTTAAACAAGTTCCACTTTATAAGCCCCTTATAAAATATAGAGAAAGCGAAATTCATTGCAAAATAAACAAGACAAATATCATGCTGAAAGGCTGAAGACCTGCTATCCAAATAGATGATAATTAGGAAGTTAGAAGACGGCAGTATTGATATGAAACATGTTCATTTAATCAATGAATATGGAGACTGTCATTAGTTTATAAAATGGCAAGGAACCGGTTGACACGAAGCCTGTTTTGGTGCTGAGAAACAATAAAAAATAACATTACTTATTCATTACAATGGAATGTGTTGAACATTCCGCCTATCTGATATCTTAATTTGGTTGTGCAGATTAGCCTCTTCATAAACTTTTAAAATCCGGATTCCCGTGTTCTCTAACCTTGTCATGAGCTTCTTCTTTAATAAATCAAAAGGCATGCCATCTTTTGAAGCCAAACAAGTTTCCTGCAGTGCAACTTTCTAAATCATTTTGCATGTAATCATGACGTACAACATGAACAATACACAAAACTAATTGCATGGCACAAACCTCAAAGAAAACTTTTGTCGAGGACAGAGGCATGGCATAAAGAAATGTTGGATATTGAGTTTCTAAACGTAGAACTTCTTGTTTAGCATAGTCTCTGTAATCCATGAAAACCATAAGGGTAGGATCATACGTATTGTTCTGCACCTGGCATAATACAACGAAAGTGGTAGAGTTATAACAACTGTCAAACAAGTTCAGAAAATTTTTTTCCTCCATCGCGGCCCTCTTAAAGGGTATTTTTTGGAGCATAAACTTACCTTCTCCACCACAACCCTCCCTAACGGGTGCACGGAGAGAGAGAGAGAGAGAGAGAGAGCATAAACATCATATCTAATTGATGAAAGGGAAAAAATAGTGTTCACGCCTGTCTAATTTTGTTGTTTCTGATAGTCAAAATTAGACAATCCGCTGTTTCACCCTTAAATAAGAACAGAAAAGCCATAATAAAAAAGTAACAAAGAGAATTGGTAAAAAATCAACTCAGCATGAGAACTCCATACTGCAGTAAGGCTAAGATAACAGATGCCGAAAATCTACAACTGTCAACAATTGCAGCTGATGATAAATTGGTAATTGAAGTAGCATTTTGGCATATCATACATACCTCAACCTCTACGCCATAAGCTATTTGTACAGAGACCCTCGGACCCCTTACCTCATATTGCAACAGTTTACCTGAAGCTGCTTCAGAAGCAACAGTAACAAGCCTATAATAATACATTAGGACCTTGAAAGGATACTAGAAGGTCAAATTTTAGGAACGGTAGCGGGGGGAAAAAGAAATTACCCTACCTGCAAAGAACAACAGGATTGTGTTCACAGGCTACAAGAGATTGCCATCTGTAGCTTCAATTATTGCTTCGACCTTTGAGCTAAGATACATTACACCGGACTCGACACACCTAGGGAAATTAATACAAATTAAATATTGATGGTAGGATATCCTGAAGAAAAAAATAACCTGGAGAAAATTGACTGTAAACATCATCGGCAAGGAACTATGACTACTTCCTCAACAACTCATCATGGAGCAAGTGCCGACTAACACGTCCATAAGCACAACCAATCATAATGGACTTATCATCGTCGTGGTACTATTGTATCCCGCCAAACATGCTCAATACATCCTTCAAGTCCAAGATCTGGAAATGACATCAGATAAAGTTACATGTTAATGTGATCGTGAGCATCAGGTGCAAAAATAAATAAATAAATAAAATTCTCATAAGAAGAAATTATGGATAAATAAATCACATTGTACAAATGCCAAATAATTGCTTGAAAATGGGGATTTAACAAAACAAAATAAAAAACTAATACCTTTAAATTCATCTTTACCAGACTCCATAATTTTTGGTGAAAGGAAGATCAGTGCCAATTAGTCCTACATTTAAACCCAACTTAGCTGACTCTGCAGCAAGAGCGAGGCCAGCTGGACCACAACCAATAACCACCAGGTCCAGTACGCTATCTCCAATTGCTAATTATTTGCTATTGGTGGAAACTGTGAAAATATATATATGCTTAAGAAAGGATCTCAAAAGGAAATTCCTACAAAACAGTAAACCCACTAAATAGATAGCAAACTTTCTTTTCTAATTACCAGTTAGTGGACATAGAAATATAAGATCTTTCTTAAAGTAACAAAACAGTATTTACAAACGGCTGAAGGCAAACTACTATTGACCAAACGTACGTGACTTTCACATGTCATAATTTTAATAAGTGTTTCATTACAATCTTCATGTCGCCACTTAAAAATTCAATCAAAAGAGGCCGTAAATTCTTATTCTAGTGGCTAAATAGGCACGACTTTATCCACCGATAGGGCCTCTATTTTAACCTTCAGAAAAGAAAATTTTCCATCGAACTCTTAAAAAAGAAACGAAGGAAAAAGTTGAAAAACTTATCTGCTAATTTTGGCTGCTTATCCATTTCCTTATTCTGTTGCATTTGAACGAAGGGAAGTTCAGAGCCACCGGCTTTTATGTAATCTTCTTCGTCAGTGAAATCTCCCTTAACCGCCACACAACTCTCGCTCCATGCTCCTCTGACTCTCACCTTGAACGAAATAAACCTATGATTACTTGAAAGCGCGGCTTTCGTCGTCATCAGATTTCTCCTCCGAGACCTCCAAGTGCCGCACGTAGAAACCGCCATTGCCGCGAGGTTCCGAGCTCCAACGCACTCCATTATCATCACCTTCGAGACCAGAAAAAGCAGAAAACAAAAGCATGTAAAAAAAGCTCTCTCGTCTTCATGCCATTGCTGTTTTTAAATGCAATGACATACAGATTTTGAGAAAAAAAAGTGGCTCTTTTCTTTGGTTCTTCTTCCTCCATAAACTGAAGAGTTTTTTTTCTTCCTTCTTTCTTCAATGCAAGTTAAATTTTACAGTTGGGAGAGTATTCAGGAAACTCGAGGTAGGCCATAGTGGGGTTTCTGGTGTTATTTAATTAGCATAGATGTTCAGCTGTAATCTGTTTTGCCACGTGGAATCTATAGATTGGACAACTCTCTGCAAAAAGCCAACTTAACACCTTCAGATTAAACGCAGTCGTTATTTGTTAATATCAATTTCTCGCGAGAATGAGAGTAAATATTTTTTAGTAGGAGTATTATTCGTTGGTTTTATTAATTTCGAATTAAATTATTTAAAATTAAATTAATTAAATTAAATTAAATTATTTTATTTTATTTTTATTAATTAAATTAATTTTTTTAATTTTAAAAATAATTAATTTAAATTTATTTGATCAATTTGATTAATTTTTTATTAATAAAATATAATAAATTATATTATATTTTAAATTTTTTATATTTAAAATTAATTAAATAAAATCATTCAATAAAAATATTTAAATATAAAAATATTAAAAATTTTAATTACTTAAAATAAAATGAATAATTTCATATATTTTCTGTTTTGTATGTAAATTTTATTTTATTTCGATTAATTTGATTAATTCAAATTTTAAGTTGAATTAATTAAAAAAATAAAAAAAGATTTAAAATTATTTTAGATAATAAATTAATATTAATTTAATAATATAATATTTAATTAAATTAAATCGATTTAATCGATTAATTTATTTAAAATCAAAATTTGAATACCCCTCGTTAAATTATTAGAACAAAACATAAGTTTACATGATGTAACTCTTTTATAAAATCTTTTCTCTTATATGTAATATTTACAAAATGATTAAATAACTAACATGACACTATGAATTAGGATTAAAGATAATAAATCTTTTACATTCAAAAAAAATAATAAATATTCTAACTGCGGTGGACATTATCATAATTCACATTCACACAAAGTGGATTTTAAACACACTGCAAATAACGAGTTTTGTTTTGTTTTATGTTTTATTTTATTTTTTATTATTATTAAAGACAAAACGCATCACTCATTAAAATTAGGATAATTTTAATAAATATGAAATTTTATATAACTAATACTCATTCACATTTACACTTTGTTATTAACCTAATATAATATATTAAAGATATGTTTTATATACAAATTATGATAAAATAAAATAAAATGATATTATAAATATTATTAGATTAAATAATATCAATTTATCTTATATTTGATGTGTGCAATGACTAAAATATGATAATTTATTTATAATCAAAATTACTTTTTCTTAAATTATATAATTTAAATTATTAATATAAAATTTAAGGAAATAATAAGACAAATAATTTTAATCTCATAGATTAAAAAAATTTTCTCTAATTTAGAATGATTGACTTATCCTATAAGGATGATTCAATTCTCTTTATAATCCTATCATTTTTTTTATATACAAAATAAATATAATATAAGATAAGTATTATCCTATATCATCTATTATTCTATGTATTAAATATGACTTAATAACGTATTTGATATATAAGATTATAGATAAAAAATAATTATTATTATCCAAATTTATGTTTGGTGCATGCATAAAGGAAAAGAATTTGATTGCTTAGATTTTTAGATATTATTTTAATATATAATGACTCGAGTCATTTTAAAAATATATATTATTTTTAATTATATGAACTTAGATAATATTTGTTAATAAATTATTTATTTTACTCCTAATTTTATATTTAAAATTTGAGTTAAACATTTTATAAGCTACAAGTATCATTATTTAATTAGTTAATCTAAACTTTTTTTCTTTTCTTTTTTTTTTTTACCTATTTTATATTTTACCAATTTTCTTTTTTTTTTTGCTCTTTCTTTTTTAATTTTTATTTGTCATTTTTCTCACTTTTTATTTTCTGTTTTTAAATAAGTAAAATATATATTTTTTGATAAAAACTAATTTTTTGAAATTTTAATTTACTGGAAATAATAAGTTTTTAAATAAAAAATTTAAAAATAAATTTAACTTTTTACCCTAAAACCTCATATAAATTAAAATTTTTTGTTAATAAATTTTGAATTATTAAATTTAAAGAGTATTTTTTGTCTTTTTTTATTTTTCCTTTTTTAACATTCTCCTTTTTAATTTTGTTATTATTTTTCTTTTGTAGAGAGGAAGAATAAAAGAAAAGGAGAGAAAAAATAAAAAGAAAGAAAATAGATAAAAATATATTTTGATAAATTTTTTTGAAAAAACTCAATTTTCATTTTTTGGAAAAATCATTATTTAAAAAATAATTTTAGTTTTCAATCATATAAATTATTTTAAATTTAAATTATGAAAATAAAGAAAACAAATGAAAATAAAAAATAGAAAAATAATTAACAAATAATTATTTTATTAAAAGACAAATAGAAAATAAAAATTAAGTCTTATCTATAAAAATTATCATAAAATATATAGTTAATTTTTAATTACATTTATAAAAAATTTTAAATTAAAATTACTTTTATTTTAAGAAAAAGTAATATTGACTAATAAAAAAATTATTTTATCTTATTTTTTATTTTACACCTAATAAATATAATGAAAGATAAAAATCATCCTATCATTTTGCTTTATTTTATTCATAATTTTATACACAAAATACATCTTAATATTATAATTTATAGATCGAGTAAGGTTCCAAAAAAATATATTATAGTCTTTATTATTTAATGGGAAAAAGCGTTGAATCTTTCTTAAGAAAGAAAAGCGTTTTAATCCTGATTTGATTCCAGGTGGAATACGCAAAAAGAACAACCCCTCTCAAAAGCCGCAAGTAAAAGCGATGTCGTATCAGTGACCAACAGTAACAAACAAAGACAAATTATGTATCCGTAAACAAAGTAAAACCGCCACGTGACCCGACATTCAAGCGATTCTCAAAAGTTGATACGTCACCGTTGGTATACAAAAACCTGCAACAAAGAAGTGGCGCTGGCAGCCGTAGCGGCGACTGCCAAAAGCAAAACAGTGGGTTGCGCATCGTCGAAAGAAATAGAGAGAGATGGGGAATCCGAAGCAGAAGTGGACAGCTGAAGAAGAAGAAGCATTGAGAGCAGGAGTAGCCAAATACGGCAAAGGGAATTGGAAATCAATCCAAAGAGACCCTGAGTTAAGCCCCTTACTCTTCGCTCGCTCCAACATTGATCTCAAGGTTCACCCCCTCTTTTCAATTTTTACTTTTGAAATTTTAGTTTACTATTTTCTTTCTCTTATTTTTATTTATTTATTTTTTTGTTTTGAAATAGGACAAGTGGAGGAATTTGAGTGGTGGTCCCGGTGGCCATGGTTCCCGGGAAAAATCAAGGACGTCAAAGCCCAAACCAAGTACCGATGGTTCAACTCCGCAGACATCTGTTCCCGTTAAGCGAAATGCATTGCCCAAACCACTTATTGATGATTTGTCAAAAAGCTTTGCTCCAAAGTATACAACTTCTCTCTCTCGCTCTCTTTTTCTTTTTCTAAAATGCATTTACTTGGCCAATTTCTTCATCAATGTATATACTACTTCCTAACTGATTAACAATGTTTATAATGTATGAACAAAGGTGTAGCTCATTTGGTTCATGCAACCATTAAAGTGGCTATTCAATAGGTTTGGGTTCAAATCTTTAACACTTGCACTATTTACAGGCTGCAGCTTATTTTGTAAAAAGAAAAAAAAAAAAACAATGTTTATAATGCTATATGGTTAATTGATGCATAGGGTTCCGCAGAGCTATGAGGTGGGAGTTAATTTCAAAAGTTTTCCATGACTATGGGAGTGGGTTCAAATCTCAGCAATTGGACTATTTTCAGGCTCCGGCCTCCTTTATAAAAAAAATGATGTTTATAGTGTTTGGTAACAAATGGTAATGCAATATAGTTGACTGTTGCATAGGGTTCCACAGAACTAAGAGGTGGCAGTTAATTTGAAAAGTTTTCATGAGTAAATTTCGTGAAATTTTAGTTAGTTTATCTTTTCAGGTTGTTATATATTTTCATACAGTTATCAAGGAGAGTTTTTTTTTTTTTTTTCACCTAATATGAAATGAAGGGGTCTGGCCTGCTGCTTCTTAATGATGTTTGGATGGTATACTTTCATATAATAGTTTACTGCTCTATTGACCATTGCTAGTAAATTATTTCTTCTCCCTTCCCCGAATTTCTTTGTGGTAACATTTTTGTGCTGTGATATTTGACATTGTTACGTACTTGTAGCTGGTACAATGAAATGATTATTGAAGCTTTATCAGCGTTGAAAGAACCAAACGGATCAGATAACAGAGCAATTGTCAGCTACATTGAGGTATTATGCAATTTTCTTTTAGTCATCATTTCAACTCTATATTTCTGTGGAGAAAGAGACCTCCTTCATTAGGAAAAAAAAATTCATCATCCCATTCATTCCAAAGGAATATGTGGACTTGTCAAAATAGAAGACTTTTTTTATGCTACTTTCTGTATATGTCCACTGTCCAGATTGGTTTTGAGATATTTTCTCTAATTGTCATAGAGGTTGAACTGGATTTTGAATAAACCTTATTGATGCTCTGACTTTGAGAAACAGCTGGATCTAGAAAACCATGCATGCAGATTGTTTGTTGAGCTAGAGGAGCTTTCCCACTATAGAAACTATGTCTGGGCCTAAGTTCATGTTAGGCATGGTAGGCTTGCCACTGAAGGCTTTTTAAACCTGAAATATTCTCGAGCTAAATACAGCCTCCATGTCCTTCCTTTTTTTACGAATCTTCATTTTAGACTCACAGAAATACAAAATGATGGTTGACCTTGAATACTAAGATGTGTTATTCAAAATTGCTGCTCTACCATTTGAGGTCTCTCTATCTCAGCTGTGTAACTTAATTTCTCATTGGTTGTTTGCTCACATTATCAAAATTATGAGTACCTTCTTTCCTTAACAAATTATGCAGCAAAGGCACGAGGTACCTCAAACTTTTAGGAAACAGTTATGTTCAAGGTTGAAAAGGCTGGTTGCAGTAGAAAAACTAGAAAAGGTGAATAACTCTATCCTTCTTTTTATCCATTGCCATTTACTAGTTTCTGCTTGGCCAAAGAAAACCTATTTTTTGAAATATTTACTTTCAAGTTATTTACATTACTATCAATAAAATAATTGTTCTTCATATAGAGTTAGTATAGGTCCTATTTATAGGGAGACAAATAATGGAGCTGACTTAGGGCTTCTGGTGCAAAAATATCCTGGCTCTTCTTTACAGAGATCAACATTAGCCGTTGATATGAGTTGTGAAGAATAGCTGAAATGATCTTTTATATGTTTTTATTTGTCTTCATTGGAAAAAAAAAGCTATAAAAAGGAAAATATAACTGGCCCGTAATTGCTGATACAATTTTTTGTTTTAAATTATAAAAGCTCTTACTCTGCATTAATGTGATTTTTTATTAGTATTACCAGCAATCGACATCTTTCAAGTACTTCAGCGTCTGATAGAATAATAGATTATTCATTTAATGGAGCATGACCGGTTAGAATTTTCTTGAATTCCTTTGTTGCCTTGTAATGGAAAAATTTTATATTTTGAGAAATATTCCAGCCATTTTGATGGTGCGATCACTGCTACTCTGTATTCAACGTGTCTATCTCTAGAGAAACAGAAAGGAATTTAGATATGTCTACAATATAGTATGCTTATCTCTCAAAATTTTCTCCACTTCAAGGAACTAAAGAACAATAGGTCATGGGAGTAAAAATAAATCTATTGGAACAGTCATAAGCAAAAGGACAATAAGGTAAGAATGAGAGTCTTTTACTTGTGCATACTATATTGTAGTAGGAAACAACTACATAACCGTTTTTTTTTTCTTTACCAAGTTATTAATTGAAGATAGAATACAAGTTACTTTACTCAAGAGTTAATAGTTCAACTAATGTAGGCTTTATTTGATTTTATTACAAAATTTCTTACCTTTTTTGTGATTTCTGGCCATCTTAGACATTTTGCTTATGAACCTTTATTTACAAAAAGCATTGTAAGTTAATCTCATCCCATCCATTTCTCTTTCGAGAAGTAGAAAATTTGTGCATAGAAAATTAAAAACATATATATGTATGCAATTTCTTTGTGATGATCACAAGCGAATCTACCGAATAAATTTTTAGCTGCTAAGAAATATATATTTCTGAAAAACAAAAAAGTCAATGAGCCAAGAAGAAGGAAATTAGGTTTGCAATTTGTTCTGTTAGTGTAACCTTATGGTAGATCTGAAATAAGGGATCTTTTTTGCTTTATCTATCTTAATAATGCAGGTGCACAATCGCTACAAGATAAGAAAAGAAGAGAGATTTGGGACGAAGACACCTAGCCCAAAACAGAAAGGCGTGCGGTCTAAGCAGTTGCATATAACTTGTGATGCAGTTGAAGAGGCTTCAGTAAATGCTGCCTATCTTGTAGCTGAAGCAGAAAATAAATCATTTGTTGCAGCTGAAGCAGTTAAAGAGGCAGAAAGAGTCTCAAAAATGGCTGAAGATATGGATTCACTACTACAGTTGGCCAAAGAGATTTTTGAAACATGTAACATATTACATTACAATTTAGAGCTCATACTTTTGCCTTATTAGACATCATGTTTCCATTTCTTACATATTTTGCCTTTTTTTTTTCATTTACTGTAGGTTCTCGAGGTGAAATTATGCTCATGGCATAAGCTCTGGATTAACTTTTTAGAGATGACCCCTTGAACCAGAATATGTACACATTGTTGGTTGTGTTTTCTCTTCTTTCTCTCAGGATGTGACTTGACTAATATATATATGAGATAGCTCCAGTTATTTGCATAGTGTTGGTACTTGTTAGTGCAGCCGAAAGATTAGACAGCAGAAAGTTCAACGTTCTCCATTCCTTGAAGCAAAAATAAAAGAACCGTTCTCAAGTTCTGAGGGTTATCACACTTTGGCTGCTTTCTAGAGGACAGAAGAAAAAGGAACAATAAACTTTTTTACTTTAATTCTAATACGATAATACATCTACAAGACAAACTAATGATTAATGGTTTTTGCATGCGAGGAAGAAGGTGCAAATTGAATAAGAGCATTACAATAAGGTGAGAATTAGAATAGATATGGTAATTTGTTTATTTATGTTATGTAAAATACATATAAAACATAAAAATTATCATGTTAAAATTTATATTCGCTTGTTAAATACAAAATATATATGTATATATATTTTTTTATCAAATTCATATATACTATTACCAGATTAATTAATGAAATAACTGCGGTTGTTGCAGCTTTGATTAATCTATGAAGAAATTAATCAAGTGAGAAAGGACAATGAGCAGAAAAAACAACGAAACACTGAAAGAGCATTATAAAGACTAAGAATAAACCACATGCAAAATCTCAACATTATTGGTGTTCATAGAACAATATGCATTGTCAACAGCAATATTGGATTTGCCTAAGCAATTAAATCTCAGTAACACAACAAAGGCTGCACTTGCTGGCAGTGCAAACCAGATCCCTGGCTGCCAATGGCAGTGGAACAATATATATGATGGCAATCCAATCCTAATCTGGAAACAAAACTGCAGGACCAAAGTCGAAACATACCAACCTATAAGAGTACAAGACCAAGCTCTGATGGTCTCAGGACATTCAGTATCCGATAATTATATAGGAAGTAGTGAAGTTGTCCATCGCCTGGTCCAAATTTCAGTTCTTTGAGGAAAGATTCATTATGCATGACATCCAGTGCGTTGAAAACATCAAAACCCTTCTGCTTAGCAACAATAAGTGCGTCATTCATCAACTGAAGCAGTGGAGTCTTAGTGGAGACATTATAATAAGAGTAGGCAGCTTTCAAAATCGAATAGTTCTGGTTGCCAAGAATCGACGAGGGAAGAGCGTAGAAACTGCAGAAGTCAGTTATTTCATGCGTCTCAGGGCTCTCAACCAAGTAGCTGTCCATGACATCCTCAGTAGGAAGAAGCCAGTGCTCCACATCACTCTCATCAAAATCAGGAGAAACAACGAACTGGCTCAAGTAGTTTCTTAGCAACCTAGTAACAGCAGAGACATCACGAAGTTCCATCTTTCTGAATCCAGGAGTGACCGGAGAATCAGGTAACTTGTAGAGTTTAATGGTTCGGCTCATCGTCATCCTAGCCCCAAGCCTAGAAAAGCCAACATCAATAAGCTTCTTGGGGTTCAATGACCTATGCCAATACTGGCAAGTAGTAATTGGTGTTGGAAGAACTACTCCAGCTGTGTAAGCTGCCTGCCAAATATTCTCCAAATGAACTCTCCTAGTGACCTCCTTAATCATCACGGGTGCAAGTCTCTTTGATCTCAGCTTCTTATGAACGCACAAGAAATTGATCTCGGCCATCTTCACAACTTCATCACGCACCCTTATTCTCGCAGGGACACCAGTAATGAAAGCAACAAGCTTCTTCGAAGCCTTAGCACGGACCCCAATGTGCCAACTCTTGTAATAACCAGGAGGACGCAAAGCCCATCTAAGAAACTCCCTGGAATAATTGAACCTAAACATATTCTCATCATCCTCCACATAATTGTTCTTCAAAAGATTGTAAACCTCAGTACAAGTCTCTTCCGAATCCATATCACAGGTGGTCCATTCATACAGACTCGGAAGGTTATAAGGCTCCTGTTTGACGTCAGACAATGGGGTCGGGGGCTCAATCGGGCCCTCAGGTAAACTTATGTCCCCAACATCCTTAAATTGACCAACAGGCTGAGTTTCCCAAAACTTGTGTCTCTTTGCTAAGGACATGGAATCCTGAAACCTTCGAACTCTGGTTTCCAGTGAGCTATCATCTTTGGGCAAAGGGTTAGCCTTAGAATTCTGATCTGGGTTATCTTTGGGTGATCCAGGTGGTGAATTGTTATCACTCATTTCAGGCAATCAATTAATTTCAGCTACTTTAACACACCCGGTAGATTATTTGAATATCTCAGCTATTTTCTCAAAATATACCTGAACCAATAGAAAAAAAAAATGTACGTCCAAATTAAAATTGGGAGAATTAACTCCTATCAAATGAATCTATTGAAACGACATCAAAAAAAATTTTTATGCAAGAAGTTATAATAAGCTAATGGATCTGCGAGATTGAGTTGAAAAGATTAGTAGAAATACGTAACTTACTCAGTTTCAAAAGACAAAACTTTAGCAGATTCTGAATCTGAGGAATGTTGAGATATTTAAGGGGCAGATTTTGGGATGAGAAAATATAAAATCAGATCTCCAAAGCTGAAGCAATGGAAAGATTAGTTTTTGTTGTTTTATATAGGCAAAGGGAGAATCTTTAGGGTTTTCTTCAAGAGAGAAGCTTTGAAGATGCCGAAAATAATTTTGGTCTTGGATAATGGCAACAGTAATGAAAACAATGTATTTTTTCTGTTAATCAACTAAACAGCGGCTTTTCCTTTTCTTTAAAACTCCGGCTGAGCCCAACAGGCCCAAAAGAATCTTGGGCTCATGGTCCGATTTTGCTTCTTAGAAACGCCGTCGTTTCAATGACTCCAAACCTTCCCTACTGCTCTCTCCTTCAAGCTCTGTAGTTTCAGGAGAGAACGGAAGGCAGAGCTCGGAGCTCCACACCCTTACCCGATAAACATTCGAATTGAGAAAAAAATGTGCGGGGACGCAACAAACTGGGACGAAGAAGCGTACAGGGAGAGCATATTAAGGGAAAGAGAGATCCAAACCCTAACCGTATTCCGAACCGTTTGGGCTCCTTCCTTGAACCCTAACCCGGAATGCGTCGTCGTCGCCTCCAGCGATGGTTCGATCGCTTCTTACTCCATTTCCTCTTGCGTCTCGAAACTTGTGAGTCCTCCTCTTCCTTCTTTTTCGTATCACAAATTAAAAAAAAATAAAGGAATTTAATTGAAATAATAAAAATAATTCTCACTTGAATTTCGCGTTTGCTTGCAGCCAATTGGTTTTTGCAGTGTTAGGGCTCAACGGTAAAGGAACTGTCTATCATGCACTGTTAAATTAATTAATTACTGTTTTCAATTTGAGCGAGAGTAACTGATTGTGCTTTGGCTTGTGGCGGAATTTGATAGGTTGTTACCGGCTGAGCCCGAGGGATTCCTTGAAGGGCACGATGGACCTGCGTATGATGTGAAATTCTATGGCAATGGCGAAGATTCTTTGTTATTAAGGTTCAATTCAATATGATGCCCTAAAAATCTATCATTTTTCCATTTTTGTTGCATTTAATTGTGTGCATTAAGAGTAGGAAATTGTTTTGTGTGGCATGTTTGTGCTTGTTTCTAGCTCAAGCTGAATCTTGCTGTTGTTAATTAACTGAACCAAGTTTGATTAAAATTCATCCCTAATGGGCAGTGAGCCCTTGATTATCACATCTCACATACTCGAAGCTTTTTTGCAGTTGTGGTGACGATGGTAAAATTAAAGGATGGAGGTGGAAGGAATTTACTGAATCAGAGGTGCCTATAACCTTTCAAGGTACCAGATTTTGGAAATTTGTAGTTTTTTCTTTTAACAAGATAGCAATTAAGGTTATATGAGACTACCATTTAATGTGGAAGGGATGAAAATTGTGTCATTACTTTTTTCTCTTGTTGTTATCTAAAATTTCCTTTGAGCAAGAAAAAAAAAATGTTGGCCATCTGTTTTACCATTCTTGGTCTTTGAAACTTATACTGAGCAGAGAGTGGACCAGTGTTTTCCTGTCATTCAAATGCTCCTCTGGATTGGAAATGTAATTTTGTAATTTAGCGGATGTTGTCAACATGCCATACTTATTGTTCAATGATATTATTTGTTGCTTTTTGTTGAATGTGGTTAATTTGCCAATTTTATTTGATGTTTTGCAGGAAATCATATGAAGCCAGTGCTTGACTTGGTCAATCCCCAACACAAGTGAGTAATCACAACTTATAGTAGATGTTCTTTTGTGTTTTAATGCATATCTTTCTACTTCTTCATTAATAGATAACCTTAGAGTCTCACTACATTGGCTTCCTTCACTCTTCTATTGTGTGGGTTTGATCATGCATGTAGCTTCTGATGTATAAGACATGCCATATGCATGTATACTCCTTTTGAGTAAAAAAGAATTCATAAAATGCCTTCTGTCTCAGCCTATGCATTTTAACCTGTCATATATTATTTTCTTCTGTTTATTTTCTCTCTTGGTGTTCAGCTTGGTTGCTAAATATTATTTTCCCATCTGCTGTTTTTCATTTTGGAAAAACAATGAAGTCACTGAAAAAATTACTTGTTATTGTTCTGTTCTGTCTAATCAACTAATTTCCCCCTTTCTTGGCATGTAACTTTTTAATTGCTGTTTCCAGAGGCCCATGGGGTGCTCTCTCTCCAATTCCTGAGAATAATGCCATTGCTGTTGATCCTCAGGTTTTTAATTCCTTTCCTTTTAATTTGTAGGTTATACTGACATTTGCTTATATGATGGCAAGTTATGTTATATGTTTGTTTCTTCTTTCCACTCTCCAAAACAGGGGGGATCCATTTTTTCTGCTGCTGGTGATTCTTGTGCATATTGTTGGGATGTGGTATGTTTTGTTCCAAATGAATCTATTCCTGATGTTTTTCTGAGAAGTGATTGTTAATATTTTCTTATTTCATTGGGTATATCTTTAAAATTCTCCCTTTATTTTGCTACCTGCTGTGACTCTTAACATCCTTTCTAATGGAGCTTTTCAGGAAAAGGGTGAAATCAAAATGGTTTTTAAGGGGCACTTAGACTATTTGCATTGTATACTAGCTCGCGCCTCTTCCAATCAGGTCACCTTTGTCCTTTCTTCATGATTCTCTATTTAGGTTGTTAATTTAATTTTTCTTTCAGACAGAGACAGCAAGATTAGTAATCCTTACTGCCTCAATGTAATCCTTTTATTCAAGTCTGGGTTTCTTTTTATCAATTGACAGGAATGACCTTTTTTGGGGTTGTCATTTTATTCATTTAATCAACCAAGGTTGTTTATCCTATATGCTAATAATAATATTACTCATCAGGAACAGAGGTCCTGTTGTGCTATTACCATATGGCAGCCATCTATGATCTAAGGTTGAGATACAGAGCAAACTTCTTAATCTAGCATCCTTCTTCTTTTTCAGATTATAACAGGTTCAGAGGATGGGACTGCACGAATATGGGGTAACAGTCTGTCTTTATATTTTCAAGGGTTATAGAGAGCTAGTTTGCTCTTATGTTGTGATTAGATTACTCTGTCTTATTCTAGTTCTAGGTTCAGAAGACATTTAATGTGAAATCCAACATTGATTGACATGGCTAAATGAAATAATTTTCTATATGATGTGTTACGTATATTCTTGAATAATGATTATATAAAATAACTTAACCCGTTGCCATGTTGCCCATTGTAACCTGACTGATATATGGTTTTACATAGATTGCAAAAGTGGAAAGTGCATTAAAGTAATTGACCCACTGAAGGACAAGAAGTTGAAGGGGCTATTCTCCTGTGTTAGCTGCATTGCTCTAGATACAAGTGAGAGCTGGTTGGTAAGAGCTTAAGTAGTGAAATCATTATGGTGTTTTTAGATTATTTCTCATTACAAATATAATACAAATATGATAATACGAATCCCATTAAAGATTTGGCCTTCAATATCGTTTAAATGAAAGATCTCCTTGTCACTGGTGGTTGTGACAGGTTAAATCTCTTAGAATTCAGTTACCTGAGTATAATCTCTTAGACTTCAGCAATTGAAGACTATTATTATTTTTTCATTGGAGGGATTCTTTTTCTGGGGTCTTATGAGCACTTTTTCCCCACTCTAGCAAAAATCTTTCAAATACCTATTAATTATATTGGCAGAATCAAATGAAGCAGAATCTATGGTAGAAGCTTAATACTTCTTATGTGGTTTTGTGGTTACCGATTGAACATTTTTTAATCAGGATTTTAACTTGACAGGCTTGTGGCAGTGGTCGAAATTTGTCAGTCTGGAATCTCCCTGCTTCTGAATGCATTTCAACTATTTCCAACCGTGCATCTATACAGGATGTAGTGTTTGATGATAATCAAGTAAGTGGGAGTTGGTTTTCTCGAGCAGACCAACTCTATGACTTCCAGTCAATTATTGCTGTCCCAATATTGTTCATAAACTTATCCAGTTATGTGTAATTTTCAAATTAGTCAGGTTGCCTTTACCCTTCTGTTCTTTTCATCTAATAATTGTTGTGTTGCCATTTCAGATATTAGCTGTTGGTGCAGACCCTGTACTCAACCGTTTTGATATGAATGGAACGACACTTTCGCAGATACAATGTGCTCCTCAATCAGCGTTTTCAGTCTCTTTGCACCCATCTGGTGTATGTTGCTATTAATTTCCATTCCCACTCAGTGCCGCTTGCAATTAGTTTTTTTTTTATACGTGGAGAAACATTTTTCATGTTTTGACCAATTTTTTTCATGTCAGGTTACTGCAATTGGTGGTTATGGGGGTCTTGTAGATGTAATATCACAGTTTGGAAGTCATTTGTGCACATTTCGTAGCCATTGTGTATGAAAGTCACTGAGATCTACACAACCTGGGGGTGGCCAGAAGTGAGAAGTGAGAAGCCTGCGAAAGATGATAGAGCTGAAACATTAAGATGTGCCAAAGTTGCTTTTCGGTCACTAAACAACAGGACGCGTAGACATAACTCTTTTTATGTCATGCCTCACCCTAGCCAAATGGTGAAGAAGGTCTTGTAAAGGTAAAATGGTTTTAAAGTGATCGTAAAGGTAATCCCATTTTGAATTGCCGATCAATCAAAGGATTGTCACTTGTTTTGTGCCTGCCGACAACGAGTACAATGTTGTAGTCTTTTTACTTGAGGAAATTTTGTAGCAGATAAATGTGGTTACAGACGTACTGTTGCACGAGTTTTAAGCAAATTTATATTCTGGTTCTCTTTCAACTTTTGCAGAGAATAATATATAAAAATGATTTTTTTTTTCAAAATGCATAATTATTTTCTTTTAAAAAGAGACATATACATCTTTTATTTTATTTTATTTTATTTTTTAATTTTCCTAACAAAAATTATTAATCATTACCATGTGGGAATGTTGTCCAAAAGGCATTTATGATATTTCCTGACCTAAAAGGAAAAGAAACTGCTTGATTCAAGTTATGATCAAGTGATCAAAATATCCGAATTAATGTCTTCAGAATTTTTTTTTTCAAAAAAACAATAACTAACTTGAAATATAAAAAATAATAGAGCAAAAGCAAATGCTGATTAACTTAAATTTTAATTTAATTAATTTATATAATTATCATTAAGAGGTGATAACTACCAAGTCTAAATTCAAATTCAACACTTTCAATATTTTTTTAATATCTAAATTACAATCCCTTTTATAAAAAAGAAAAAAAAAAAAAAACAATTCTCGTTTTTGTGAAACAAAAGAAAGAGTTAACTGATTTCATGGGTTACTACTGTCTGGTTCCATATGTGGCCCATATAAATCCTTTTAAAATATCATTTGACTCGGTTTACGAACTGGGGTGCAAATCCGGAAACCTAAATAACAAAAATTTCAGGCCCACGACTGGCAGGGCAACTACATATATTATATTATTAGTTTGCCTGTTACCGAAGTCTTAACCCTTCTAAGTATTCTGTTGCACTCTGCTCTTCTCACACATCTTTTTCCTTGAGAACTCCGCGGCGTTGATCCGAGGAGTTTGGGGAAAAAAACTCTAATTTCATCGAAACCCTTATTCAATAAGAAGCCTCTCTTAATTGCTTAAACTTTTCGATTCTCATCGATCATTGTCTCCAACTCCAGGTTTGCTTTTTTGTCGAACGGCCTTTTCTTATTTTTAATTTTTATATTTTCGCTCTTAATTTTTTTAAAAATCGATTTTGGTGAGAAGTTTGCGACTTTTTCTGATCAAAGGATTCTTTTTTTTGTATTTTTCTTTTTAATTTCTGGCCTTTTTTGAAATATTTAGGATTTAATTGATACGTATTGATAGCAAACTCGTATTGATATTTGTTGGACTTTTTTCGTTTTCTTGATTTTAATGCTTGTTTTGTTTGGTTCTGAAGAACCCTATGAGCGATGGAAAATTTGTTGTTAAATGGTACTTTTTCCGTAATGGTCAAAAAGGCGAGGGAACTAAAGAAATTTTTGTGGATTTTTTCTACAAATATTGTGACATTGTTAATAGTTAATTCGATTGTCGATTCTTGTTCTGATTACTTTTTATGCCTTTATGCAGTTATGGCAGGAGCTGCACCAGAGGGATCGCAATTTGATGCTCGTCAATTTGATAATAAAATGAACGACTTGTAAGGCTTTTCTTTTTCTGGGTCTATTAACATGCGTCAGTTGCATTTAGTTTTCTGCTTAAAGATGATGTTTCTATTCTTTGTTGTTCATTAACATAGTTTAGCTTTTAAATGCTTGGCATTCTGTTTCTTTTTGTAATAGATGCTAATTACTAGTTTTGATATGTTGATTGCTACAGCCTTTCAGCTGATGGACAGGAAGTTTTTACCTCATGGGATGAGGTTTATGATACTTTTGATGCCATGGGATTGCAAGAGAATCTTCTGAGAGGAATTTATGCATACGGTAGACATAGCTTCTTCTTTTACGTCTCTCTATATTTATGTAATAATAATATAGTCCTTGTATGCTACTGTTATTGCTATTATTTTGCAACTTTTGTTTTTCCCACTTTACCTCCTCTAGTAATCTAGACGTGCTTTCAGAGTGATCAGTGAGGGCAAGTGAAATTTAATATATTGATGCCTTATAAAGTGTTCCTTTACGTTTTCACCTCATTCTAGACATTGGTCAATCAGCTGAGCAAGCTATCCCTTTTTTAGGTTTTGAAAAACCCTCTGCAATTCAGCAAAGAGGAATTGTTCCCTTCTGCAAGGGACTTGATGTGATTCAACAGGCTCAATCTGGGACAGGAAAGACTGCAACATTTTGTTCTGGTATTCTGCAACAACTTGATTATAGTTTGGTGGAATGCCAGGCCTTGGTTTTGGCACCCACTAGGGAGCTAGCTCAACAGATTGAGAAGGTTATGCGAGCACTGGGGGACTACCTTGGTGTCAAAGTTCATGCTTGTGTTGGTGGGACCAGTGTCCGTGAAGACCAACGCATCTTAGCGAGTGGTGTCCATGTTGTTGTTGGCACTCCTGGTCGTGTTTTTGATATGTTGCGGAGGCAGTCACTCCGTGCTGACCACATTAAGATGTTTGTGTTAGACGAGGCAGATGAAATGCTGTCACGAGGGTTCAAGGATCAGGTCTGTTTTATCCCGTAATCTTTATTTAATGTTTTAATCTTATTCTTTTTGTACCCTTCAATATTCTATGGATGTTATGCCTTCTCTTTTTCTCTTTCCTTTAAACTGGAATTTATAGTCGATAAACGTACGGAGATTTACACTTGAATAATATTTGTTCTGATTGAAAATTTCTTGCAATCAGATCTATGACATTTTCCAGCTTCTGCCAGCCAAAGTTCAAGTGGGTGTCTTCTCTGCAACAATGCCACCTGAGGCCCTTGAGATCACCATAAAGTTTATGAATAAACCTGTGAGGATTCTTGTGAAGCGTGATGAGCTCACGCTGGAGGGTATAAAACAGTTTCACGTCAACATTGAGAAGGAAGAATGGAAGCTTGAGACACTATGTGATCTGTATGAAACCTTAGCCATTACTCAGAGTGTCATTTTTGTGAACACTCGACGCAAGGTTGACTGGCTTACCGACAAAATGCGAAGCAGAGACCATACAGTCTCTGCCACGCATGGAGATATGGACCAGAATACAAGAGATATCATCATGCGTGAATTTCGATCTGGGTCATCTCGTGTTCTCATAACCACTGATCTTCTTGCACGTGGTATTGATGTCCAGCAAGTCTCTCTTGTTATAAACTATGATCTCCCTACGCAACCGGAGAACTACCTTCATCGAATTGGTCGAAGTGGACGTTTTGGAAGGAAGGGTGTTGCAATCAACTTTGTTACGAGGGATGATGAAAGGATGTTATTTGACATCCAGAAGTTCTATAATGTGGTTATTGAGGAGCTGCCGGCGAATGTTGCTGATCTTCTCTGAAGAGATTTTGCCATCCATTATTAATGAAGATCGGAGCAAGTGGGAAGATATTTAGCAAGTTTATTTGTTGTGGTTTTCCTCTCTTTTTTTTTTTTCTTCCTTTTTCCTTTCTCTTTTAGCCCCTTGTTTGCATATCTTGTTTTATAGGCGTAGGCTCTTAAATATAAGGTGTTCGAATATCTAATTATTTAGTAATTCTTGTACTTGCATTTTGCAATCTGTAAACCATTTGGTATTGTGGGTAATTGTTGTTGCAAGTTGGTTATTTTTAGGGTTTTGTTTTGGGTTTAACATGTCATGGTACATGCTTATTTGGTGGTTTGGTTCTAGGTGCAAAATTCGCTTATTCAGAGCATGTAAGTTGGCAGTTGACTAGATTTTGCTAGTATCTCGCCCTGTCTATGCTGAGGAGCTAAATATTTTACTCCTTACAATCATCTCTTCAATTTCTATCTTCCGGTTCTTTTCTTCGACATCTTGTTTCTTTCACTTGTTTGCTATGCTGTTTTCTCCCGTTCTAGAAGAACCGTTAATCTAGTTTTAGGGATTCAATCTTGTAGTTTGCAATGCTGTCCCCTCACGGGAAATTTTGAATTCAACACTAACCCAGGGCTAGCTCCATCGCCACTTTGGAGTTAACGTTCTTGTATCTGGAATCCCATGAGGCTAATTCGTTTTGTTTGTTTTTGAAGAAAATAAATTGGGGATTAGGGGGTTTTATGAAGAAAAACGAAAACCCAGTAAAAGAATTTAATGGGTTATTGAACTAACCTGTATAAATTTTGTAAAAAGAAAGTGACTTTTGGAGAAAATTTGAGAGATGAACCCGTTAAAGAGGGGAGGAAAGATATGGAGAGGAAAAAAAAAAGAAAAGAAATATGGAAAAGAGAGACGAAAAACATGCGTAGAGGGAAAAAAACATAAGAAAATGGCATAGAGAAAATAGAATTAATTCTAGACGTAGAAAATTTAGTTGCTATAAATGCTTAGACTTATGATTTCACTAAATGCCAAATCGTAGGAATGAGAATCTTCCAATTCCAAAGGACCCACCGCTTTACATCACTTTTTTTTTTTTATAATATTAAAAAAAATAATTTAGATGTAGTTTTGGGGTTTGGCTGACACCAAAAACCGTTTTAAGTTTCCGTTCACTCATCTGCACTTTCTGGCCTCTGCTTTCGAATTTTTCAGTCTTTTTCTATCTTCTTTGCATGAATCAATAATTGTTTACGCGCATGCTTTTAATTTTAATCCAGTTCGCTAATCCTCCTGTCTTGTAGAACTCTTGTTTTTCTTTTTGTTAATTTTTGAATGGCGATACTCGAATCACCTGAGATTTTAGAGAGCACGGAGACGGTGATCAGCACCTCTCACAGCGACTCAGATCGTAATCTCTTCTCATTTCGTCGTCGAACCAGCACGGTCGCACCGCCGCCGGAACCAGTGCTCCGGACACTGACGATTCGGGCAATGGCGAGGCCGTGGACGATAGAGATCGAGTGGAATCGGCCAATTTGATGAGCAACGTTGGAGAAAAAGCAAACGGGATTCCAAGCATTTCCGATATAAGATTCACGTATCGGCCTTGTGTTCCCACTCATCAGAGGATCAAAGAAAGCCCTCTCATCTCTGACGCCATCTTCAAACAGGTTTTTATCTACACGTACTTTAGTTGGAGAGGATCAGCGGTTTAAAGTAATATTTTTCTGGAATTGCAAGCTTGCTAGCTTCGGAAAAAAAAAAGTAAAATGCTTGAATTGAGTTGAATTTAGTATTTCTAGCTCTGATTAACGATTTGAACATGATAGCAGAGTCATGCGGATCTGTTCAACCTCTGTATAGTAGTACTTGTTGCTGTAAACACCCGACTTATTATTGAAAACCTGATGAAGGTTTGTGTTTTTAAGTTTTAGTTTTGTTGGTGGTTATTAATTTATGGTGCATCGGATTAATGAATTGTTATCTTTGTTATGTTGTTGTTGATAAAATGGTGCACTCTGGGTGGTTGATCAGATCTGGTTTTCGGTTTAGTTCAAGATCGTTGAGTGATTGGCCTCTTTTTATGTGTTGGTAATGCTTCCTTAATTTAATCCTAGTTTTAGGTTTGCTAAGAATATATTATGTGAGTGAAAGGCAAGTCTTATTGGATTATTATTTTTATGGTTATGTGGGCTCGATCATAATTTAACTCCTTATGTTCTGCTTGCTGGTTCACATTACAGTCATACTCTTCCAATTTTCCCACTTGCGGCGTTTGTAGTTGAAATGTTGGTGCACCAGAATTATATATCTGAACCTGTAAGTGTTTCAGCAGCAGCTGCAGCTATTGCAGAAATAAAGCTTGTTCTTTCTTTTCCTTATTTTTTCTTTACTTGAATTTTCAATGGAAAAGAACTTGTGATCTAGAAATTTCTTTGCTGTTATATATGCCAAGCATCAGCACTTGAAGAAGTGTACTAATTCTCCATAGATAACAAGACGCCACATTGTGTTATTGAAGTTGCAAAAAGTTGACTGCTAATTTCTATATTACAGGTTGTTGTTTTTCTTCATGTAATCATTAGCTCAACTGCAGTTTTGTATCCAGTTATTGTTATTCTTAGGTGAAATTTCTTTTTTCCTTTGAATTTATTTTTATTCCAGTTTCCAAGTATATAGCTATCTATTGTATTCTACTTAGCATTGAAAGTGTTACTTTATCAACCTTTCCAAGGTTTAGATTGCACTATCCTACTAGGATCACAAGATGCCCAAATTATTTCTCTATATATTTTGTATACATTTATTTAAGTTTGCATTAGATGAATGCCTGGCTAAGCTCATGAAAGAATTTTCAAGTCCTTTTCTCAGCCAAAACTTAAGACTTTGCCTTGTTCTTCTTGGAGTTAGCTTGAGACTGCCAATTTTGCTGAATGCATTTTCTTGTCTGGTTCGTTCATTTCTGTTTAATGCCTTTATTTTTGAGGTTTTATGTAGTTTGTTGTGCCCAGTCAGTGTTCATCACATGTAACTCTTAAAAGAATAAGAGGAAAGTTGTGAAAATTCTTAATTGATTGGACTTGCTTCTGAATTGTGCAGGTGTGATTCTGCATTTTTATCAGGCGTTGCTCTGATGCTGTTTGCTTGTATTGTCTGGTTAAAATTGGTATCCTATGCTCATGCTACCAATGATATGAGAGCACTTGCCAAGTCAGCCGAAAAGGTATGGAGAAAATATTTTTGAACTTTTGTAGTTGATTATTGAAAACAGCATAAAAAAATGAAAAATTGTGCTGGCTTAATGCAAGACAAAAGCTTGTACCTTTTTTTACAACCCCCCCCCCCCCCCGCAGTTCCTCGTGCTCTTTTAACAGTTGAACCTTGTGCAATTAATGATTTATGCATAATTTTTTTGTGGTGTGGTTGGGAATTGGGAAGTATGGCCCGGAAAATAAGTTGTTGATTATAAAATGCTTCTTGGTTTGAGTCACGAATATTGTCAAACATCAGGTGCAATTTTATTTTTTTTAGAATAAGAAGAGAAAATGCACTCTCCATTTTCCCCCATGTTTTCACTTCAATCAATGTTATATTTCCTATTTGATTATTATTGATTCATTCTGTATGATCCTGTTGTTGATGTTAGGGAAATGTGGCCCACTCTTATGATGTTAGCTTCAGGAGTTTGGTATGCTTCATGGTAGCTCCCACATTATGTTACCAGGTAAGAATCATATTCTTTTTGTTGCCTAGACTGATATTTTCCTTTATCGTGTGCTACAGTATAGTATGTATGAGTGCCCAATGCTCAAGCTGGAATCTATCTGTTCCATGTACCCCATCTACTCTTCATGTCTTGTGGTACTATGGACAATGATCCATCCTGGTCTTCCCATCCTTTGTTTCTTTTATTTTCACCTTTCCTCTTGGGGCTGGGTGTTGATGGATGGATTCATCATGTCTTGATTTTTGGAAGACTGCAAATATGCTTGAAGGTACATAATATGGGTAGCTAGCTTACCAAAATAAGTTTTATTCATTACTTGTTTTGTTCTGTGCACCTAATCTATGATTAAGATTTGTCTTAAATATGTGTTACCATTTCTGTAATTGTGAGTAGTAAACAGCATTGCTTGATATTGGCAATCTCTTGTTCTGAATGTTGATGAATTTCCATGCAGACAAGCTATCCTCATACACTAGCTGTTCGAAAATGTTGGGTGGTTTATCAATTTATCAAGTTTATAATATTTACAGGACTAATGCGGTTCATAATAGAACAGGTGGGTGGTGTCAATTCTTCAATTGCTATGAGTGTTCCTTATTCTGCCTTGTGTTTCAGAGTTTATTCATTAAATGTTAAAAAATTTTTGTGGATTTGTATAATTCTGCAGTATATCAATCCAGTTGTTCAGAACTCTCAACACCCTTTGAAGGGGAATCTTTTATATGCCATAGAGAGAGTTTTGAAGCTTTCAGTTCCAAATTTATATGTGTGGCTCTGCATGTTCGACTGCCTTTTTCATCTCTGGTACATCTGCAGTTATTATTTCTGGGGAATACAGTCTTTTCCTCTTCTGTTTCATTGTAAAGATTTCTGTTTAACTTCTTTAATAAAAAAAAGATTTCTGTTAAGTAATTTATATTTTAATTTGATAGCTATAGTTGCGTTCACTTTATATTCATGACTTGATCATTTAATTGCAGCAAGTTGCACATTTCTGCTTTCAAATATGTACATGTGAATTAGCTCATTCCATGATCGTGCAAATGATTAATTAAAACAAGGTAGATCAACTTTGATGCTAAATTACTTCCTCTGCCCACCTAATGGCCAACCTATCTCAAGCACCTGCTTCTGTTTCCTTCACAGTGTTTGGGGGTTAGGAAAGACAAATAGTCTCTCCTGAGCATGATGCATCTTGATTCTTTGTTTAGCCATTTTGTCAGAATCGGCTCCTTAGGATGGAGTATTAATTCGAAACATTGCTCTCACTCTCATGCACACACTCTTTGGCATGCACATGCATTACGTCACCTGCACAAAGGACAGAGATCAGCCTTCTGTGGGTGCTTAAAAATCTTTGGCAGCATACTATTTATATTGCGTGCAGCATATTACCCTTATTTATAATAATAAATAAAGGTTAAATATACTAGCTGAGCTCCTTCATTTTGGGGATCGTGAGTTCTATAGAGATTGGTGGAATGCAAAATCTGTCAGGGAGGTAAGTTCTAGAACCCCTTAAATATTTTCTTGAGCTATATTTCACTCAATGCTTT